GGGAGAGCCTTCTCTGTGACGGCGCCCACTCTCTGGAACAACCTCCCCCCAGAGTTACATACAATAACAGACTTCCGGATTTGGCAGGGGTTGTGGGTATTACTTGGTGAAGTAATAAGGAAATAAAGATTTAATGAGCATTATACGAAGTAATAATAAATGTGGGGAAGTTTTCGAAAGGGAAATAAGATTTTGAAATATAAATATGCGTGACCTGTATTGTTAATTGTGAGGATTTAGGCTAAGAATTGTGAAATGTACTATGAGGTATTAATTGAATTAAGATTTAAGGGGGGGGTGTAAATAGAAGGGTAACTGTTTTGATTAAGTAAATTTGAGTATTTTTTTTAAAGATGGTATTAGTTGAGATAGGTGATTTAAGATTAAGAAATAAATGTTATGGCAAAATAGAATATATAAAATCTTGTTAAAGATGATAAAAAATTGTATAAATTGATGACCGGATCAGGGCTCTGGGCCAAAAAGATGTAATTTGTGTGTTGAGAAAAATAAAAATAAAGTTTTTGCAAAAAAAAAAAAAAAAATTGCCTACCCAGGGCGCAACATGCGAGCGTGGTACTGTGTGGCCACTGAGGTAGAGATCGATGTGATGGAGTTCCATGAGCCCAATGGGCAGGAGAGTGGTCCCATCGCCCTGCAGAGAAACAAGCAGATCCTAGAGGGGGTGTGTTCCTCCAGCTAGAGGAGAGAAACCTCGCCAAAACCTTGGGGGCTGTTTCGCTGTGGGAAGGAGGCGCATCGAATTGCTGTCTCGCACTGCGACCGGCTCCAAACCAACCAAAGAAAAAGACTTCACCAAAATCAATTAAGAAAACTTGTGCAGGGCAACAAGTCGTAGAGTTCTCCCCTCCGTCAAGCAAGGGAGAGAGAACCCACAACCCCTGCCAAGACAGGACTAGTCTTCTACAAGAGCAACAGCGAAGGTGGAGATTTCTGTATCCTCAGGTATAAATTCCTTACGGCCCATTGGGGCTCGGGGTGCAGCAGATGACTGGTCAGCCTCCAAGTAGTAAAGAAGCTAGAGACGAGACTAAGAAAGTTAAAGAAGCCTAGAGCATTTTCCCAGCTAGACAGTTCAATAATAGACAGGGTGCCAGCAATCTGCTTAACCAAGCCTGTGAAGCTGAAAGCTGGGACCCACATGGAGATTATTCTGGGACCCACATGGAGATTGTGGCCCCTGGGATGACAGAGGACATGGTCCTAGGCCTGGCATGATGGAAAAAAATGGAGCCCATTTCTTGATTGGGATAGAGACAAGGGGCAGATGCAAAGGAAAGTGTCCAACTGGCAAGAATTAGTGAAAGTGTTAAGAAGCTGCCATGTATCTGCAGTTATGTAAGCGAAGGCAGACACCGTCAATAAACTAGAGGGGGAAGATAGCTCAGAGCCATTGATTCCAAAAGAATACTGCAATCTGGCTGAAGTTTTTAGTGAAGAGTCTGACACACTACCACCTCACTGCCCCACAGACTGTGCAATTGAGATCATACCTGGGGCCAATTTGCCAAAGCTATATTTGATAATACCCAGGGAGATGGAGCAGCTCTGTACCTTCATAGACACAAATTTAGTCAGGGTTTTCATTTGGCTGACCAAGGCAAGGATGGTGACCCCTTTGCTTTTTAAAGAGAAGGAAGATGGGTCCCTTAGGCTGTAAATCGATTACAGAGGGCTAAATGGTATATACATGGAAAATATATACCCCCTTCCACTGATGGACATGCTGGGGCACCTTACAAAGGGGAGGATCCTGACTAAGCTGGACTTGAGGGAAGTGTACTATCGGCTAAGAATTAAGGAAGGAGATGAGGGGAAAGTGGCGTTTAACTGTCCCTGGGCTGCTACCCAGGGAGTGGATAAGTACTTGGAAAGCCATTTGGCCCATAGTGTTTGCAAAGCATTCAAGGGAGGTGCAGAAAGGCAGGCTGTCAAGAAGAGAGCACCTCAGAATGAATTTAGAATAGGGGATGAAGTGTACCTGTCCACAAAATTCCTATAGTTGGGGCAGCCCCGCAAGAAGTGGATTGTCAATATGATGACAGTGCAATAGAAATTGCCAAAAACCCTCAGTGTTTCACTGCAGTTTAAGCCTTTCTGTAGTTCACCGAGGCCAACCGTTAAACTGCCTCCACCCACACCCGCCCATATGGATTGACAGAGAAAAACATTTCGACGTCAAGGAGATCCTTGACTCTTAGTGCTACAAGGGGAAGTTGCAGTACCTAGTCTTATGGAAGGGGTTTCACTTGGCAGAGGCAGAATGGGTGACAACGATGAATGGCCATGTCCGCTCATTCAGAGGTTCCACACTAGGTATCCAGACCAACCCCGGTAGGTAAGCCTGTGCAGAGGTAACATGGTGTAATAATATGTGTGTGTTTGTTTCCTTGTAGAATTAATCTTCCTTCTGGAGAGACAACATATAATGGTTGACTTGCTACGCAGCTTTGCTTGCAAACAAACAACTGTTAACAGGAGGGGGGAGGGAACACATTGGAATGTAAGGAAGATTTGGAAGGAAAATGAGGAATGCAAGTAAGCCAGCTGAAAGCCTGAGACAGACGTAACACTATAAGGTCATTCAGTTGGAACAGTCTGAGGCAGTCAGACTGTTCCCAAAACAAAGTGAATGCAAATGATTAGTGGACAATGGACAAAGGTCCAGGTACAAAGGAAAAGTTTACCTATGCTGTTTTCGTGGGAAAATTAGAATTGGCTTTTGTACTTCTGTAACCACATGGAATTTTCAGTAAAGTTATACTATTGGTAAAAAAATATCTCAGAAGTTTATTTTGCTGTCTAATCTAGTGGGATGGTTTATATCAATTTTAAATCTGTGGTTGGATGTCATTATGCTGGTTTCGATTTGTTATATTTATTTTTTAAAATGTAACTTTAATTGTGCACTGCAATGAGTCCTTTAGAAATATGACACTATAGAAATACAGTTAAATAATATCCTTCAGTTTATTTCATCAGTCTTGGTAATTTAAATATTAGCTGCTTCTTGAGAAGCGTATCCAAATATACTGCAGTTATATTAAATCAAATTTGCAAACTTTATGCAATGGAATGATATATAGTGTACATTCTTTACACATGTATACAAAGAAAAAACATCCTGAAAATAACTGAGCAAGAAACACATTTTTCTGTAACTTACTTATAGCTGTTGAATAAGTTTAAAATATGCCATCATCAAAGCAAACTTGACCAAGTGGATAATTAGTGCAGAAAAATTTTAATACTAATTTCAAAATTAAATATGTGAAATAGCACCGTGTTAGATGAATCATAATATTTTTACTCCAGTTTTAAAAATGGTTCCACTGGTATGTTTTTAAACTGGACTAGGGGAAAAAAACTAGCACAATCACAATGACAAATAATGCAAATCTGATTTCCTTAACTGATAAATAGTATGCAATTCAAATGAGCCTTGCTTAAGATTTTTTTAAAAAAATAAGCCTCCTGAGCACTGAGCCTTGGCAATTACTGTGACTTGGAGACACCATACATGACAATGCTTTCTGCCTAATATACAAGCTGAAGCAACTATTCCTTGCCAAACAAGCAAGGACATTGATTATACACCCCTTTTTTGAGTTTTCCTGGCAACAGGTCCTGAAATCAATATACCTTTGACAATTTTTCTATATACTGTCTATTGCTCAGGTATTTTCCAAGGTTATTTTCTAGACTCCTCACCAGTTTCATTTCTCCTGAGAAGTTGGGAGGGGAAAAAAATCTGGAAAAGCTGTTGGGATGTTTCCAATTAATTTTGACTAATATGCTTTTCTTTTTCTGCCAAATAAAATCCAAAATACCCTCCCACTTCCAATGATTTTTTGTCCATTAAACATTAATATTTTTTCATCTCTAATGATAAATTGTGCAGGACTGCGGTAAGCTTAGGAAAAAGACACAAATTGAATAAATAATTCCAAATGCTAATTACTTTGGTAGCCTGTATTAAACGACGTCAGGGTAGGATAGTTTGTAGCATGTTGAACTAGAATGGGGGAGATCCAGGTCTAAATGCCCAATTGCTTATTATACTCTATATATGACTGGACTACTGTAATGCTCTCTACATGGGGCTCCCCTTGAAGAGCACCCAGAGGCTCCAACTGGTCCAGAATGCGGCCGCGTGGGTGATTGTGGGGGCGACGTGGCACTCCCATGTAACACCTATCCTGCGTGAGCTGCACTGGCTTCTGGTGGTCTTCTGGGTGCGATTCAAGGTGTTGGTTAACATCTTTAGAGCGCTCCATGGCTTAGGACCTGGATACCTACGAGACCGCCTTCTGCTACCAATAACCTCCCATCAGCCAGTATGCTCCCACAGAGAGGGTCTCCTCTGGGTGCTGTCGGTCAGGCAATGTCGACTGGCGACCCCCAGGGGGAGAGCCTTCTCTGTGGGGGCACCTGCCCTCTGGAACAAATTGCCCCTGGAGATTCGGAGGATCCCGGACCTACGCACCTTCCGCCGTGCCCTCAAGACTCTTTTGTTCCAACAAGCTGGGCTGGCCTAATTCTAATTCTTTTCAACTTTTAATCTTTAATTTTTAATTCTTGAGGTTTAAAAAATGAGTTTTTAATTAGTTACGGGCCATATTGTTTAATATATATTTTAAATTGTTATTAAATTTTCTGTTTGTATGTTGTTATTCTGGCTATACACCACCCTGAGTCCTTCGGGAGAAGGGCGGTATATAAATTCAAATAAATAAATAAATATATTCTTTAGCCAATTATCCCCTCTCTAGTGCTAAAATATTTCACAAATTTCAAATGAGAACAGAAAGGAGGAAAGGCAACTATATACAGTGAAATGAAATTTTGAATAACAAAGATATAAATAATGTATGTTAAAATCACATTCTTTAAAAATATGTTTTCACTACAGGCATATATCCTTTTTTTGCTGTAAAAGACCAATTTATTTTTTTACAATTAAATAAAGAGATACTTACTGTGCTGATTAATAAGCATGCGAAATGAGATGCGATTGGTATAGAATCTATCTAAAAAATATTGAATATTACTGCTCACAAAAGGATCAAATCCATACTTTTCTTTGTATTCAATAACTCCTTGGGCCATGGTAGGAACAACATCATTGTGTCGATTCCTGACTTTAATTAAAATATCTAAAAAGCTGCAGAGAAAAAAAATAGAAACAAAAGTATTAGAGTTACTGTTATTTTCACATTTTAGATACCGGTAGCAGCTTCAAAACATTCATTCATAATTCAGTTTGTTGAAAGAAAAGTTTGAACAAAGTTGTCCAGTATGTTAATGAAAACTTCTATTGTGCAATAGTTATAGAATTAAAAATGATATTCTTGTTGCACTTTAGTTCTAAAATAAAAATAATATATCATATATGTCCTAAAGGTGCTTTTTTCAGGAAGCAACTGGACTTTGTTTTTGTTTTTTTTTGAAGACATTCACTTGTCATGCAAGAAGCTTCTTCAGCTCTGACTGGATAGTGGGGAATGGAAGGATTTATATTCCTTGCAGACAGCTGGTCATTTGCATTCTTTTAGAGCAGCAGTTCTCAACCTGGGGGTCACGACCCCTTTGGGGGTCGAACGGCCATTTCACAGGGGTCGCCAAAGCCCTCTCTCACCCCCCCACGCCTTCACTCACCCTCACCCTCTGCCTCTGTTGGATCGCCCGGTCCCCGTTCGCTTACCCCACCCACTCCCAATCTATTGCTGCCTCCGGAGTCCCAGCTGATGGCTAGAGGGAAAAAAAACTTTAAATTCTTGCCGCAGGGCTTCAAAGAGCTAGCTGCAAAGAGGTAAATTCCTGGAGCAAATTTTTTTCCCCCTAGCTATGCTGAAAAGAGAAAGCGAAAGCAGGGTCTTAGCTGCAATGTGACAAAATGAGGCAGAGATATTTCTTTTTCTTTTTCCTCACCAAAAAAGGTAGGTACAAAACTGCAAACAATGGGAAATTTAGGGCAAGAGGAGGTTCAAGATTTTAAAACACCAAAGAAAAAAAGCTCTATTTAACTAGGGAATTGTAATAATTGAGATACTATTAATTGTATATTGTGTTGAAAGCAGAAATGGTTAAGTTGTGGTTTGGAGGAATATATGGGGGAAATTATTTGGTTTATTATTATTGGTAAATATAATTAATTGATTTGTAAGAAATTGGATTGCATGGAAATAATTGGAATATTCATGTTCATATTGATAAATATACAAAAAAGATAGTTATATAACTAATTGATTTATATTAAAATGTTGAATTTGTATTAAACAACTGTATTACATAATTAACCAATGTGAGGATGGATATAAAAATAGATGACAATGCGAAAGGGTATAATATAGAATAGAATGGAAAAATTGAATTTGATTAAGATTAGAGATGAGGATGAAGGGTAATATTGGTTTTTTAAAAAAATAGATGAGGAATAAATATGGTAAAAAGGAAATATAGAAATTGTAAATTTAATTGAAATGACTAAACACTGTGTTGGAAGAAATATCCTTCTGGGTTCTATTCCAAGTGGGGAAAAAGACACTGGAAACATGGAGACTGCTTGGAAAGATGGCTTAATGGTGGACAGGATCACATGGCTTGATGGGGTCCATTGTGTTAGTTTCTGTTGCTATTGTGTTGCAAATGTCCTTTGACAAAGGATTGACTTTCTCCCTCTGGCCCATTAACAAAGGGTGGGGGGCAGGAAGGTGGGAGCTGCTTTGTCTGTAAAATATGCTTCTCCATTTCTCATCCAGGGAAATATAATATTCTGCCTTTTTAATATTTCCCAAAATATTTCATTCTTCTAGGAAAGGGGTGGGTGCTAACCTCCTACAACTGTTTAAATTTGTGGACCGGCCAAATACTCTGTTCAAAGAAAATACGTTGTATGTTTATATGTGTGTTTCTAATTATTGCTATTTATTCCTATTTGTTCTCTTTTATTCTTTAAAGTTTAACAATTCATTCTTTATCTTAATATCTTTATATTTGTTTGAGGTTGGCTTTCTTCCCTTTCATCTTTTTTATTGTACAGCAATCTTTCTCCTCAAACCTACCACCTGTCTTTTCTTTCTTACTTACTTTCTCTTCCCCCCCTCTTCTTCTTCTCCCTACTTCCTCTTTCTCCTTCTCCTCCTCTCTTCCTCCCTCTCTTATCTTCACTCCTATTCTAATTTCCCTTCCCTTCCTTCATCCCTCTCTATTGCTGTATCCTTTTATGCATATGGACTACTCAGAGGGCTGAAAAAGTTATTTTTGACTGGTCCTCGCACTTTTGACCAGTCCTCGAATTTACGACTGTCCTCACAATTTATGTTTTTGCCCTATCTTGTCACCATGGTGAAGAGAAGCAGTTGTGAAATGCGTGACACGGTTATTAAGAATGGTACAATGGGCATAAATGATGACCAGTCATAACTGCGAAGACTGGTCAAAAGTGCGAGGACCTGTCAGAAATCACATTTTTCAGCCCTGTCCTTTTGTGCACAGGGACTACTCAGAGGGCTGAAAAAGTTATTTTTGACTGGTCCTCGCACTTTTGACCAGTCCTCGAATTTACGACTGTCCTCACATTTTACGTTTTTTGCCCTATCTTATACCATGTTGAAGAGAAGCAGTTGTGAAATGAGTGACATGGTTGTTAAGAATGCTGCACAGGCATAAATGTGAGGATGGTCATAAGTGTGAGGACCAGTCAAAAGTGCGAGGACCTGTCAGAAATGACTTTTTTCAGCTCTCTGAGTAGTCCCTATACACATAGCCATGGCCACCCGGTCACATGACCAGCTAGCCACGCCCACCCAGTCACATGACCTCCAAGCCATGCCCACAGAACCGGTAGTAAAAGAAATTTAGAACCCACCCCTGGTTGGGGGTCACCACAACATGAGGAACTATATTAAAGGGTCGCGGCATTAGGAAGTTTGAGAACCACTGTTTTAGAGAGTCCACAGACTTTTAGCTGTGCACTTTGGGATGAATAGTATGAACAGATTTTCCAAAAAAAATTACAGATTACAGGAATTATTTGCAGTTCAGTTTAAAATGCAGACAACAGAGACTCATCCCCAACAGCCTGTGCCTACAGGGAAGGGACACAGGGCAGAAAACATCCTGTAGCCAAGAAGGTTCCACACCCATTTGTACTATTCAGGTGACTCTGAGGACACAGATAAACCTTCAAGTGGCGTTAATGACTCTATAAAAGAATGCAAATGACCAGCTGTCTGCAAGGAATATAAATCCTTCCATTCACCACCATCTAGTCAGAACTTTTTTGCATGAGAAGCGAAACTCTTCAAAGAAAAAACAAGAAAGTCCAGTTGCCTCCAACAAAAAGCACCTTTGGGACAACCTGACTTGGATGACTGAGAATCTCCATAGATATACCATATACCATATTTTTCATTCCATAAGATGCATCGGACAATAAGACGCACCTAGGTTTCGAGAAGGAAATGAAGAAAAAGAATATGAATCTGGAGCACCATCTCAGTGTACATATGGCATGCCGAATCTGGAGTAGCAGTGTAGTAAGGGCAGGAGGCGGAGACTGAGAGGACCAGACATAGGTGTCCTCTCATGTGCCAGCTCTGCCTATTGACTCCTGCACTCCGGTGGGGTTCAGCACTGTAAAAGGACTCAGCCGCCATAACCCGGTTGCGATATTTGCTCCATAATACGCACAGATATTTCCACCCACTTTTGGGGGGAAAGAAGTGCGCCTTATGGAGCAAAAAATACAGTAGTTTGCATGACGATTTTGAGATAGCTGTTAGGCAATTATTGAGTATTTTCAGAGTTGCACATTATTAATATCCGATTTATTTTAGTAATTAGTTCAAACTAGTTTTGAATTTTGAAAATTTGAATCATTGTGAATAATGTCTACAAATTGTAGCTAGAAACTAACAATGTTTCAGGCAATTTTAAAAAAAGAAATGTAGAAGAAAAACTATGAAAAAGGAAAAAATGATCAGAGTTACCAGTTACCAGATCAGATCTACATTTTCACTAAATGAAGCTGGATAGGTTCATTGTTGGAAACATGATGGCTTCAGAATAATAGACAAATGATTACATTATCTACTTATATTGCATGAAAAAAATGACAATTTCAATATACAGATACATAATCCTGGGTAATTATTAGCTGTTACTGGTATAATTCATAAATACATAGTCAAGAGTACAAAGATGGCTTTCTATGAGCATTCTGATTAGTATTAGTAACTTTGTTTTCTCAAATTATCTTAACATCATAGGAACAGTAAATGTTAATAACATACAACATAGTATTGGACCCAGCAGCCATTATTCATGAAACTCTAAGCTTTCTTTTTTTAAAAAAAAACACCTAAAGCTGACTTTAAATTTCACTTCTCCTATCAGAAATTTCTTTTTGCCTGGAGGAGTGAAGAAATGCAAATATAACCTTTTCTATCCAGTAATAAAATCGAATCAATTTTCCTTGCAGGTACTTTTCTAGTATATATTTCTGATTGCAAGAGAATATTGCTTTCTTCATCTAATCAGTGCAGCTTAAGTAAGGTTGAAAATTCTCATGCAGTTTTCAAATGATTTATTACTCTAAGAATAACAACCATAAAATCTGAACAGTAATACTAAATCCCAAAATTTTATATTGACCAAGGAGTATTTAAACTACTCACTTGGCGTGCTGATTGAAAAAGCACCCCTTCTTGAAAATTACTTAATGCTTAAAGACTTAGTTAGATTAGAACCTGCTGATTCTATGAGGATTTGACAATGTCAAAAGAAGTTCAATTTTCTACTTTGATGCTTCAAATTAAGAAAATAGAAGTATACAGAAAACATGGATTTAAAAGTTTTTTTTCTAAAAAACAGAGATATGCCAAATAGGAATATGATAAATGGCAATAAAACTGTATCACCTGATTTTTATAACATACTTTTAAAGCCAAAGTATGGAAAACCCACTCTTAGTAGACTTCACATAATATTTTTCACAAAGACATTTGGCTAGCAGCAGTTTGTGTTCTATGCTCTTTGAATTAAACTTATCCAAACTATTTAATGCTATGCCCCATTGAAAGCGTTAGCTCAAGAAGGGAAAGCAAATAGTTTCAAGATATTCTTATATTTATTTGTTCAATTTTTATTTATTAAACTCAATCTAGTTCTTATATCTTTCTGAGGTAATTTCACATGAAACTGCAATATTGATTTCTCCACTTTAAACAAGATCAAGCTCCAAATTAGAAATACACCAGTATTGCATAATTTGTTCTAATATAATAATTAAAAATTATTACAATTAAAAAATTAATTCAAAAATATTAATTGAAGTATTGCAAGCTTTCTGAACTACAAGACTAAACTCAGCAAGTCCAACATACTAATTTCATGTTTAAACACCTTTCTTTACTTACTTATCTAAAACATGTGGATCTTCAGGACTTTTATTTTCATACTCTAAAAGCTCAAGAAAGCTCTGCATATACCTGAAACATACAAGAATAACATATTTGTTATTTGCATATTAAATTTGTGGACACCAACCTGGAGGGAAATTGCTAACACTCTAGCAGGCAGACTCAAGATTTAGAAGAATCTTGATGGACTTGAAAACTGGATTCTATCCAACAAGATGCAGTTCAGTAGTGAGAATGGTCCTGCACTTAGGAAAGAAAATTCAGATGCACAGGTATAGAATAGGTGGTACCTGGGTCAACATTAGAGGGATTTAGGTGTCCTAGTGCAGGTGTCCCCAGGCATCCCCAGGCTGTGGCTTATTCACCAGCCATCACATGTTGAGCTGCGCACGCATGTGCCCCGGCCCACCAATTGCGTGGCGCAGTTCCCCTCTCTCTCCTGCCAGGCCGCCAAGCCACAACCACCATTTAAATATTAGTCAACATACTATAAAGCAACAAATCTGAAATGGATTAGAGAATGGGTGAACTTGGAAAATCAAAGACCATTAAAATTAGAAGGACATGATTTGTTGATGGGGTGGCACGCCTTCTTATGGAACACCGGGAACAAAACATATAAATATTTCAGTAATCATATACTAAGAGACTCATTAATCTGTACATGGCGAGAAATTAAAAACAAACATTATATAAAAGTTCCTGGATGGTTATCCACAATGGAGGCGATAATACACCCCAATACACTAGCAATACAAAAAATGATAAGATATAAGGAAATATTGGAACCCCAGGGAATATTAAAAACCCAAGAAGAACTTAGAGAACAAGGAATACTGATAGATTGGTGGCCCTATTTACAGATAAAAATAAGATACAAAAAGGATCAAGAGGAAGGAGGAATTGAACTAAAACCGAATCGATTAGATAAACTTTTAGAAGCCAAGGAAGAAAAATTAATTTCAAAAATTTATAAATAGTTATTGGAATTCGACCTAGCAGAGGAATTAGTAAAAGGAAAAATGATAGCATGGGTAAGAAACATTGGACATAACATACAATTGGAGGACTGGGAAAACGTATGGGAAACTAATTATATCATGACAAAATCAGCAGTTTATAGAGAGAATCAGTATAAAATGTGGTATAGATGGTATCTGGCCCCTTCGAGACTAGCGAAGATGTATCCGAATTTAAAACCAACTTGCTGGAAATGCAAACAGGCACAGGGCACTTTTTTTCATGTCTGGTGGCTTTGCCCAAAAATTAGGAAATACTGGGAAAAAATAAAAACTTGGCTAACAGAAATAACAGCAGAGGAAATAGAGTTGAAACCAGAAATTTTTCTATTAGGTATGATCAAAGAAAACCATAGGAAAGAAACAAAATATTTAATATTACATATAATTATGGCAGCCAGATTGGCACTAGCGCAATATTGGAAAACGGATCAATTGCCAACGGATCAACTAATAATCCAAAAAATTTACAATTGTGCGGAAACAGATAAATTAACATTTGAATTAAAAGACAAGGCAGGCTCAAAATATTACACGGTATGGAATAGATGGTACGATTGGATAATGCAAAAGAAAGGAGAGTAAATGTAAAATTCTGTAAGACAATAAAATTAATAAACATGTACCCTCAATAAGATAAAGGACATGATAAAATGACAAGTCACTTTCTACATTTCTTTTTCTTTCTTTTTCTTTTCTTTCGTTTTCTTTTTCATCTTAGTTGTGAGTAAGTAATGTTGTGTGGATTAATATAAATGTATTTTGTATGTACTCGTTATGACATTTTATCTTTTTTATCTTTAATAAAGTTTGTTTTAAAATAAAATAAAATAAAATAAATATTAGTCAGTATGATGCAGCTGTCAAAAAGCCAATGCAGTGTTAGGCTGCATCAACAGAGGGTTAGCATCAAGATCACAAGAAGTGATAGTAGTGCTATATACTGCACTACTAAAGCCACACTTGGCATACTACATTCGGTTCTGATTGCCACAATACAAAAGATGTTGAAATACTAGAAAGAGTGAAGTGAAGGTGAAGTGAAGTGAAGCGCGGGAGGACCCCTTGGAGGGTAGAGCCGAGGATTTTGTTCAATATCTGTATGACAAAATCACTCAGATTCGGGAAGATCTGGACTCTGACTGGGTAGTTCCAGGGGGGTTGAATGAGGCAGGTCTTGAGAATGTTATCTGGGATGAGTTTGATCCTGTGACCCCTGACGACGTGGACAGGATTCTGGGTGGACTGAACGTGACCACATGTTTATTGGACCCATGCCCCTCCTGGTTAGTGCTGGCTTCCTGGGAGGTGACGCGAGGCTGGCTCCAGGGGATTATAAATGCTTCATTGGGTGAGGGTGATTTCCCCGCCGCCTTGAAAGAGGCGGTGGTGAGGCCTCTCCTCAAGAAGCCTTCCCTGGACCCGGCAGTGTTGGCTAACTATCGTCCAGTCTCCAACCTTCGCTTTGTTGCAAAGGTTGTTGAGAGTGTGGTTGCGCAACAGCTCCCCCAGTACCTGGATGAAACGACGTATCTGGATCCGTTCCAGTCGGGCTTCAGGCCTGGGTACAGCACGGAAATGGCATTGGTCACGTTGGTTGATGATCTCTGGAGGGCTCGGGACAAGGGCTGCTCCTCTGTCCTGGTCCTATTAGACCTCTCAACGGCTTTTTATACCATCGACCATGGTATCATGCTGCACCGGTTGGAAGAGTTAGGGTGGGGAGCACTGTATTACGGTGGTTCTCCTCCTTTCTCTCTGACCGGTTGCAGTCTGTGTTGGCAGGGGGCAGAGGTCGACCCCGAGGCCCCTCATATGTGGGGTGCCACAAGGGTCGGTCCTCTTGCCCCTTTTGTTCAACATTTATGTAAAGCCGCTGGGCGAAATCATCTGTGGTTTCGGGGTGAAGTACCATCAGTACGCTGATGACACCCAGCTGTACATCTCCACCCCGGACCACCCCAACGATGCCCTTGAAGTGATGTCTTGGTGTCTGGAGGCCATGCGGATCTGGATGGGGAGGAACAGGCTCACACTCAACCCATCCAAGACCGAGTGGCTGTGGTTTCCGACATCCCGATATAGTCAGTTGACGCCATCGCTGACTATTGGGGGTGAATCGCTAGCCCCCACGGAGAGGGCTCGCAACTTGGGTGTCCTCCTGGATTCACGGCTGTCTTTAGAAGAGCACTTGACGGCCGTGACCGGGAGGATTTTTCATCAGGTTCGTCTGATTCGCCAGTTGCGTCCCTTTCTGGATCGGGACTCCCTACACACAGTCACTCATGCCCTCGTCACTTCCCGCCTGGACTACTGCAACGCTCTCTACATGGGGCTCCCCTTGAGGAGCACCTGGAGGCTCCAACTGGCGCAGAGTGCGGTCACGCGGGTGGTTATGGGAGCAACATGGCGTTCCTGTGTGACACCTCTCCTGCGCGAGCTGCACTGGCTCCCGGTGGTCTTTCGGGTGCGCTTCAAGGTTCTGATTACCACCTTTAGAGCGCTCCATGGCTTAGGACCTGGTTATTTACGGGACCGCCTACTACCACAAGCAGCCTCCAACCAGCCGGTACGCTCTCATAGAGGGGCTCCTCCGGGTGCCGTCAGCTAAACAATGTCGACTGGCGGCCCCCAGGGGGAGGGCCTTCTCTGTGGGGGCACCCACTATCTGGAACGAGCTCCCCCCAGAGATACGGAGGATCCCGGATCTACGCACTTTCCGCCATGCTCTTAAGATTCTTCTATTCCAGCAAGCCGGCCTGGCCTAATTTTCTCCCCCGTTTTAAAATTCTTTTACATCAAAATTTTAATTTGTTTTAAATTATTGGGATTTTTTTAATTGTCTTGGGCTAAATTATTTAATTTGGTTTTAGTTATATTTTTTAACTTTTGTATTTATGTATTTTATTTTGTGCCTGTTCACCACCCTGAGTCCTTCGGGAGTAGGGCGGTATATAAATCTAATAAAAGAAAGAAAAGAAAGAAAGAAGGTGATAAAGAGTCTGAAGGCTAAATTGCATGATGAGCAGTTAAGGAAACTAGGTATGTCTAGCGATGACACGATAGCTGTCTTTCAGTACTTGAGGTGTTGTCACAGGGAGGACAGGACAAGAAGCAATAGGTGGAAGTTCATTACAGATCCAACCTGAAACTAACGAGAAATTTCCTGACAGTGAGAACAATCATTCAATTGAACAGCTTGTCTCCTGGAATTGTAATAGAAGTTTGACTAGAAGACCTCCAAGGCCCCTCCCAGCCCTATGATTTAATAAAATTATTTTGGGAAAAGAATAAAAAATTCAGCTTCCTCCAGAAGTTAGTAAAGCTGTAAATATACATCCTAAGGATGGACAACTTTTTGATGAGAAAAGTAGTCAACATGGAGTAGGAGAAATGGAAGGTTCTGATAGATAGAACAATTTTTCAATGCAAATAAGGCATAACACAAGTATCCAGATTGGGGTGATCATAGCTGTCATCATTTTGCAATATGAGAAACCAATATTTCCAATATCATTTGTATAATATTCTGTAAGAGAGAGAGCTATAATAAGAGTGTTATCAGATGATTTGAATGTTGGTAATGCCCGTAATTATGAACAGGTTGTCAAGCATCCACATCACACTCACATGACATGTGATGTGTGTGTGTGTGTGTGCACATGCTTTGTGATGGTCGGAAGTGCTTTACAGGCCTTAAAGCATCCTTTCCAAGGCTATTAAGCTGGACAATTGTAAAGTTACCAGTCATTAAGCAAGGACTTATATAGGAAAATAATTTTTTAAAGAAAGGTCAACTTAACATAATATAAATTATCTTCAGTGGCAAAGAATAATCTTTGTCTTATACTATAAAATTACATAATTAATACATCCATTCATCCATGTTGATACATATACACAAAATTATTCTAAATGTGTTATAGCGGATATAGCGGATTCTAACTCTTTTTTGAGTTAGAAAATGAGAAAAACAGTAAAAACAAGGAATAGTTTCTACAAATAAAGCCAGGAAAAAAGGGAATTGAGCCCTAGAAAGAAAGAAGTAAAAATGCACATGGGAAGGTCTAGTCAAGGCAAGTACAGAACAGAGCAGAAACACAGCCACTGAATTAATTATAAGCAAATACAGTATGCTATAACTAATTTTTGTTGTGCAACTCATGTTTATTTGATTGCTCTTATTTTAATGAGCACTTACCAACTTTGTACTAGTTTAACAGAAGGCCTATTCAACAAGTTGTCAGGCAACAAATTTACTTCTCTCATTGTATTAGCAAGTCGCACAGGAAGCTCTTTTCTCAGGAACATGTATGATGTTTTCTCACATGCATTATCACGCCCTGAGGAAAAAAAAGAATTTTATTTTTTCATGTTCTTGAAACATTCTTTGATAATACAAATAAGATATTAAAATATGATTTATCAGGACTTTATGATTGTAAGTTTTCTTCTTGCGTTACTAAATATGATTTTAATCTGATTATAAGACGTCTATATCAAGCTTAACATCATTCATGGCTATGGCTGTTTTATTGCAGCTTCTTTTGTTACAATTATGTCATTTTGTAAAGGATGAAGATCTGGAAAATATAATGAACTTCAGCGATTAAAATCTGATATGTAAAATATAAACATACATTGCAATTCCATCTGAATTATCAATTACAACAAAATCATCAGCTATAAGAATTTCTTACCATATGTCACATATCGTAACTATTAAAGGTTAAAGGTTTCACCTCTCCAGTCATGCCCAACTCAAGAAGTGGGGTGCTCAGCTTTGATTCTCAGCCAAAGGAACCTGTGTTGCCCGACAATAGCAATAGTGCTTAGATTTATATATAGCTTCACAATGCTTTACAGCCCTCTCTAAGCTGTGTACAGAGTCAGCATATTGCCCCCAACAATCTGGGTCTTCATTTTACCAACCTCAGAAGAATTGAAGGCAGAGTCGACCTTGAGCTGGTGAGATTCGAACTGCTGACAGAATTAGCCTGTGGTTAGAATGCAGTATTGCAGGCTCTAGGATAAACCAATGGTTCTGGCTTGGAAAAGAGTGTGAGAAAAGAAAATCTGCTTTCTGAAAAAAGTAGTCTTAAAATGCTAAGGACACTTCAGAAAGTTAATTTCCTAAAATATTTCCATTGAAATTAATGATAATTAAGGGTTGTACTATGTGCCTCATCCACATGAAATTTAATGAGCTTTAACCTTATTATGACTTTAAAGTATAATCTTATGTACTCAGCTAAGAAGCTTAATAGAGCTTGTTCCCAGTCAAGTAGATATTGGATTGTAACACTATCTTCAAATTATCAAAAATCCCTTAAAATTTATTCACTGTTCCTATAAGGAAATTTAATCATGCTATACAGTATAAAGTCAGACGTTTAGATTTCAGATTAGAGACTATACCAACTTTCATTCCTCTCACCCACCTCTTTTAATAGCAGACACCACCATAGTAATATTGAAAAAAGCCATGTGAACTCAGACCTAAGTTTTACCTTAAAGAGCTTCTCAGTATTCCATTTTACGGAAAAGAAAGATTGCAAATGCATTAGTCATAGTCACAAAGTACTGATTAACTTATGTTCTTGCAGTCCAGAAAATAATGTTAAAAGCATTGCTATGCATATAATAACTAAGATTTGCAATTTGAAAAATCCTTAAGTCTAGTGCAACTGGTACAATCAAAGTCACACTTTTTGAGGCAGTCCCATTATAATCAGTCCAACAGCACATCGTTCAGCATCTGTTCACAGAAAAATGTACAATGGCAGGATACAACCCAGTTAGTTATTTCTTATGTATACATTTTCCCTTGCTCTTTTAAGTTATGGCTAATAATGGCTTGTTATAACTTAGCAATGTTTTGTTTTAAATATGAACCTAAAATATTAATATATTTTTGTGCTTGTCCATAATTGAGGGTTTTTTCCTTTTAACTAGAAAAGCTTTCAGTTAAAATTAAAATGTGATTTTAAAATACAGATCAGGTTATTCCATGTAATTAGCTCGGAAAATATACAGATCGTGAGTTCTAGAATTCTTCCTAATCACTTACCAACAATGGCTCCACTTCTTTTGCATAATAAAGTCACATGTTGTCTTTATGTGTGCATGTGCATTTCCTCCTCAAATATGAATCAGGGTCAGTACATACCGTATCTTTCGGGCTAGGTGGAGATGGCGATCCCCACCAGCTGGAACAAGCTGAAAATGGGGAGCGCGGAGGCCAAAAATGGGACACACGGAGGCCAAAAATGGGGAGCGCGGAGGTGATGATAGGCAGCAGCTGCGATGGACAGTGATAGTGGCGATGGTGATCCCTGCAGCCTGGAACAGCTGATAGGAGGTATTCCGGCAGGCAGATCCAGTGGTGGGATTCTGCCGGTTCTAGGCAGTTCGGCCGAACCATTTGTTAAATTGCTGGCTCACTCCGCCCCTTGCCCCGCCCCCCGCACTACTATTTATTGCCAATAAATAGTGGTGGGCAAGGGGTGGGCGAGCCAGCAATTTAACAAACAGTTTGGTGTTTTTTTGTAATTTTATTGGCCCGCCGAGCTTCAGCATAGGCTAATTAGCCCATTGATTAGATCGGCCTCCCGACTCTCAGCTGATTTGCTCTCAGCTGTTTTGCGCAGGGCTCTGCTGCTTGCTTGCAAAGAGTGCTGGAGCAGTTTTCCCCTAGCTATGCTGAAAAACGAAACTGAAACTAAAGCAGGCTGTTGGCTTTGCTGTTTGCTGCAACGTTGGAAAATTAGGCAGGCAGATTTCTTTTCTTTTTCCTCACCAAAAAAGGTAGATGCAAACAATGGGAAATTTAGGGAAAAAGAGATTTTGAAACACAAACGAAAAAAAGCTCTATTTAACTAGGGAATTGCAATAATTGAGATACTATTAATTGTATATTGTGTTGAAAGCAGAAATGGTTAAATTGTGGTTTGGAGGAATATATGGGGGAAATTATTTGGTTTATTATTATTGGTAAATATAATTGATTTGTAAGAAATTGGATTGCATGGAAATAATTGGAATATTCGTGTTCATATTGATTGATATACAAAAAAGATAGTTATATAACTAATTGATTTATATTAAAATGTTGAATTTATATTAAACAACTGTAATATTACATAATTAACCAATGTGAGGATGGATATAAAAATAGATGAGAATGGGAAGGGGTATAATATAGAATAGAAGGGAAAAATTGAATTTAAGATTAAGATTAGAGATGAGGATGAAGGGTAATATTGTTTTTTTTAAAAAATAGATGAGGAATAAATATGGCAAAAACGAAATATAGAAATTGTAAATTTAATTGAAATGACTGAACACTGTTTAAATTTGCGAACTGGCCAAATGCTCTGTTCAAAGAAAATAAATTGTATGTTTGTATGTGTGTTTCTAATTATTGCTATTTATTCGTATTTGTTCTCTTTTCTTTAAAGTTTAACAATTCATTCTTTATCTTAATATCTTTATATTTGTTTGGGGTTGCCTTTCTTCCATTTCATCTTTTTTACTGTACAGCAATCTTTCTCTTCAAACCTACCACCTCTCTCTTTTCTTTCCTTCTTACTTTCTTTCCCCCCCCGCTTCTTCTCCTCCCTACTTCCTCTTCCTTTCTCCTTCTCCTCCTGTCTTCCTCCCTCTCTTACCCTCACTCCTACTCTAATTTCCCTTCCCTTCCTTCCTCCCTTCTCTTCCTTCCCTCTCTCTCCTTCCTACTTCCATCTCTCTTCTCCTTCCTTCAACCTTCTCTATTGCTGTATTCATTTTCAATTTTGTATTTTCCACTATGGAATCCCTGGTCTTTCTTTCATTTATCAAGTATATTTCTCAAATTTCCCCTCATCTTTTTATTAGCAGTATATTTCATCTTATTCCATTTTTTCTATTGAACCCAGTGTAATCATCTTTATCTTTTTTTTCAGTTATTTCCTTTTCAATATTATCTCGTTTCTCTTGCCCTCTCATTCATCTTTTCTCTTTCTTTTGTTTTGCAAGCTAACCAATTCTCTGCTTATTTATTTCCCTTAAATGCCTCCCTTACTTTTTGAAACATCTCCCTTAGTGTCTCATATTCATCCTCCCAATTCTCCATATTTTCAATTTTAAAAGGCTAGGATTTTTAAACTTCTTTTCATTTACATATGTGGGGGGGGGATGCTTTTCAAGGAGCCACAAGGGGGGCTGAGAGCAGAGTCATTCTGACAGTGTCTTTTAAAATTGCTTGGAAGACCCATTTTTTCCCTAACAATAATGGTTTGTATACTTTGGAATAAAACATATACCTGGAAAAAGTACTTGCAAAACTTGGACAGAAGGAAAAAAAGGCAGGACTGGACTCATTATCAGTAGCTAGTTAGTTCATTGTTATCAATGACTCCCACTGATTCTAAACTCATTTTAAGACTGGGATTGGTGACTACTGAAATTTAAGTATTCAACATTGGTCTCAGAAATCTTTGATTTGAACTATCAAATCTCTGATTTGAACTATCAAATCTTTGATTTGAACTTTGATTTGAACTATGGCAAGAAAAATCATAAAATGGGGCAAAACTCACTTAACCATAATTTCTAGATATTTTAAGTGTAGAGAATTCAAGTGTTGAGAATGACCCATTATTTCGTCTCTTTTTCCGTACTAGGTACCACTATTTGATTTCTTTTCATTTTATTCAAATAACAACAGAAAACCCAATACAGTTCAGTATGAATTGGCTTTCCAGTCCTTCCTTGATGCACTTTTTCACATTGGTTATCTAGTTTAAATGCCAAAGAAAAATCAGTTATATATTTTTCAGACCTTTGGAGGATCACACTGTCAATTGTTCACACTGCTCAAGCGAAACTAACAGGTGTGAATTAAGTTTTAGCTAAAAAATGGAGCTTTAATTCCAGAAGTCCATTCTTTAAACTTGGACTTCTGGAATTAAAAGGCTCTGATTTAAATGGTACGCCAGACAAAAGATGGAAAAGAGTATCTTGCTTTTAGACATGATAATAACTGTCTAGAAAGTTGAGTTATGAGCTATTTTTACGTCATCAGAAATTTAATTTATTACCTGTTAAAAATGCAAAGACAAGGAGTACAAGGAGCAAATGAAAGAACTTCATGTTGGGGTTGGTTCTGGACCAAATCTTACTTGTGGGACAGAAACCAGCTCTCAGCCCTCCTTGTGACTTCTTGAAAAGCATCCCCCCCCAAACGTTCCACCGCCTTAGGAGGCAGGGGAAGGCTGCAGGTTGATCCCAAAGGGATCATAATGGGGTGGCAGAAAGACAAGGGGTCCTGCAAACCATGTGTTGTCTCCTAGAAGACGCC